AAAACTACATTTCATGACACAATAACAGTAATATTTAAAAAAAATAATGCGAATATGGTGGTTGAAATACAATGTTACAATGCTGTGTGAACTCAACCAATCAGCATCTTCAGCGCCCAAGTCCCACTTCCGAAAGTTCCGGACCTTTGAAAAAGTACTACCTAGCGAGCAGGGACTTTCTGAGGGGCAAATTTTTACCCGTAACTTTATTTAGATCTTGGTTCCTGCGGTGGAAACACACCAAGTACCGGCCCAAAGTCCCTAGTTCCTGCGGTGGAAACAGGGCTATTCTAAAACATGCTAAATCATGTTAGCAACATCCTAAAACATGGTAATCATGTTAGAAACATGCTAGCAACATGCTAGTCATGTTAACATGCTAAAACATGTTTCCATTCCAAAAATGGCGGATGGCTTGCGTATCGCGGCCCATAGAAACTGTTGCTAATGAGGCATCTACGTATATATATATTTGTTAAATCATGCTAAAATATGCAGTGTGATAAATCACGCTAACAACATCTTAAAACATGTTAGCAATGTGCTAAATTATGATAGCAACATGTTAAAACAGACTGACAAGATGTTAAATAATGCTAAAACATGCTGACAATATGCTATATCATGTTAGAAACATACTAGCAACATGCTAATTGTTCTAATCATGTTAGCAACATGCTAATAAATGCTAGCAACATTAATAACAATATTAACAGCATTCTAATTGCGCTTGTAACATTTAATCATGGTAGCAACATGCAAAAACATGTTAGCAATGTGCTAGCAACAATGTAATCATGCTAAAAACATGCTAGCAACATGCTAATCATGGTAAAACATGTTAGCAAAATGTTAAATCATGATAGCAACATGCTATCAACATCTATGTTAGGGTGACCATACGTGCCATTTTCCCAGGACGCGTATGGCACGTATGGTCACCCTAATCTATGTAATCTATCTATCTAAACTTTCAAACTTGAAGCTTAAGTTTGTTCACTCATCTAGTTACTTCATATTGTTTTTGCAATTCCTTTGGTGCCACTGATTGCTCAGAAATTAAATGCATTATCTCACCATTATTTTTTTTTATGTTGTTATAGGAACTCTACTGCTGTGTGCATTTACTCGTTGGCAGAGCTTGATGATGTTTTTGAGCATTCCTCCTTCAAAGGTTATTCTGAGGCCATTCCCACCACAAGACCAGGAACTGTGAGCAAAACATACACAGAATAATCCAAATAAACATCGTTTTATTAAACTTTTCAGTTTGTTTGTGTAGAAAAAAAATCATATCACTGTTCTCTTTGTTTGGCCTCTTTTTGTTTTATACTACTCTCCATTACAACACTTACTGGTTGACCACTGTGGTAAAATAATGTGTACGTAAGTTTTTCCACGTAGCGCAGCTACAGAACAGCATACGCTGTTTGCGTTCAGTGGATACTCTCCAAAATGGTGCCAGGGTGACGCGGAGGAGACGAATTGTTATTTTTGTTTTCTTTGCGTACAAAAAGTAATCTTGTAGCTTTGTAAAATTACGGTTGAACCCCTGATGTCACATGAATTATTTTATGTTGATCGTGTTACCTACATTGCTGTCTATGGGTGGGTCAGAGAGCTGTCAGAATAATAATAATAATTCCTTACATTTATATAGTGCTTTTCTGGGCACTCAAAGCGCTTTACATAGAAGGGGGAATCTCCTCAACCACCACCAGTGTGCAGCATCCACCTGGATGATGCGACGGCAGCCATATTGCGCCAGAACACCCACCACACACCAGCTTATTGGTGGAGAGGAGACAGAATGATGAAGCCAATCAGCAGATATGGGGATGGTTAGGAGACCATGATGGTCAGAGGCCAATGGGCGAATTTGGCCAGGATGCCGGGGTTACACCCCTACTCTTTTTCGAAAGACATCCTGGGATATTTAATGACCGCAGAGAGTCAGGACCTCGGTTTAACGTCTCATCCGAAAAACGTTGCATCAAAAATAACTTAATTTGTGTTCCGAAGATGAACAGAAATCTAACGGGTTTGGAAAGAAATGAGGGTGAGTAACTAGTGACAGAATTTTCATGTTTGGGTGAACTAACCCTTTAATAGAGAAATGTGCGCTATTGAAGTGTCTGTGTGGAGTGTGGAAGCGGAATAATGGGTGCGCTCACTTGCTCTTAAATTACTCCGTCATTTTTGGTAATACAGATAAGAGTAATACATCTTTCAAATCTGTAAAGACTCTACGGTTATTTGTGTGCACTCACAATAACAACAAAATATTGCGCTTTTGTAAAATAATGAAAGCAAACATGATGCTCTTTCTGCCGTCTCGGTCTCTGTGAACTTGAGCTCGAAGCTCCATGTATATCTTTGCCTTACAGACATTAAAAATATATCTATAGACAGTAAAATGTCTACTTCTAAATGAAACAATTCAACAAATATTCTCAGATTATGTAATGCATATGAAACATGCATACAGGCGCATCACTGCTGCGGAGATGACGAGTCAGTGTCTCCGACTTCATCTCTTAAACCGAAAACAAAGAAGGCACTAGTTTATCAAAATAGTAAAATGTTAATGCAGTCTCCTTACTGTTTTTCCACTGACACATACATAATCATTACATCTGCCGGTGCGTTGTGTGAAGCTTTATGTGTGTGCTTGAGCGCTTATGGCTATGTAGGCAATTAAATGCTCATTATAATAATTTAAATTGTTTATTAATAAATGTGCGTCTCTCTCTCATTCAGCTCAGCTTCGACAATGAACTGTTCCAATTATACACTTATTTTCACATAGCTATGAGAAGCATTAAACATGGGCGCGCATACGGTTGCTGTTCTGTATTAAACCTTTAATCAGGATAAAACAGTATATTAAAAGCTAACATAAGCAGTAGCATTTACAACAGTGTATCTAAAAGTATGAGACAACAAAAAACATAGGCCTACCATTAAAAGCCTTGCTTGCACAGGTTCTGCACGATCCTCTTCAATAATATCCTCTGCTTCTCAATCGGCTCAAACTGATAAGTGATATTAACGATGCCGTTGTTTACAATACAACCGGAGCACATGCCGCTGAGGTGAGGGGAGGGACGGTTAGACGCGCACTAGAGGCGGTTTAGCCAATCACAACACACTGGGCTAGCTAACCAATCAGAACTCATCGCCTATATCTGTGGGCGGGACTTCATAAAAACAGGAAAAGATCAGCCCGTTTCTCAGAGAAAGAGACAGAGCTGTGTGGAATAAAGGTAAATTATGTGAAATATAATGCGTTTTTTTTAACGAAGCATTAACACATGTTAGACTGCACCCCATAAACACAATCAAGCATAGAAAAAACCCAGTGAACCACCCCTTTAAGACATTCACCAA